ATTTCTGAATTTCTGAATTTCTGAATTTCTGAATTTCTGAATTTCTGAATTTCTGAATTGCTGAATTTCTGAATTTCTGAATTTCTGATTTTCTGAATTTCTGAATTTCTGAATTTCTGAATTTCTGAATTTCTGAATTTCTGAATTTCTGAATTTCTGAATTTCTGAATTTCTGAATTTCTGAATTTCTGAATTTCTGAATTGCCTGATTTCTGTTTTTTAAAATATTTCTGAATTTTAAAATTTCAGATTTTCCAGAACTTTCAAAAGCGAACTTTTTGAATTTCTGGAAAATTTCAAAAATTCGAAAAATGCAAAGATTCTCAGAAAATTTTAAAATTCAAAAATAATAAATTCTCAAATTTCAGAAAATCAAGATGTTTTAGCTCCGCGCACTCATCCAAGTAACGTTCCCGTGTTCACATTGCTCATCTTTAATTGCCCCAAAGTTCCCGAAATCTAAAAATTCGCAACAAACATCATTTATTCTCAATTCCATAGATCAAACTCCTAATTTTCTGTAATTCCCTATAATTTTAAGAAACACACAAGTTTTCAGAAACCACCAATTATTTATAAAATGTCCCTCGAGACTCTGAAATGACATATAAAAACGTGATGAACATAAAAATACTACTTCTCATGAGCTCGTTTTCAGCCGATATTTTCAGCCAAAAAAATTGAGAAAAATTAATCTAACCTCAAATTTTCCCTTTTTTTCAACCGAAAAAAAACTCTTGAAATTTCTGAAAATTGCTAAAAATGTGCTCCCAAAAATGGCTTAATGTAACATTTTATACCGAAACTTTCGGATTTTTCCTTTCTATTTTTTTCAATGGAATCCTTTTTTCACTGGTTTACGAGAAACCAAAATCTGTATTCGGTAATTATAAATATCTGATGATGGCTTTTTCGGCACTCGGCATTTTTTATTCTTGCTGTAACTTTTGGGTCATGCCGGTGGGTTGAAATGAATGTTTTAGAACCGGTCATTTAGTAACCGCGAAGTTCGAGAACCCGAAGTTTTGGAACTAGTCATATTACACAGTTTTGAACATTTCGAACCGGTCGTTTCGCAACTCTTTAGAATTTCTAGTAAGCTGGACATTGTTGAACTGCCTATTTCAGAACGGTTTCAAAATGACCGGTTCTAAAACGTCTTTTTTGTCCATAAATGCATTATTGGCATCTTTCCAGAACGTTCATATCACCGAGTCATCATTCATTGTGTTCAGTGTGTTGAAAAATGAAAAGTTTGGAAAAGATTTTGGACCAATTGCAATTAGTAAGTTACCGAAAAAAAAAACGTAAAAATAGGAACAAAAATTTCAGAAAAAATTGATTTTTCGAATTTTTTCCGAATTTTGGTCATTTTCGTTACATCCTGACTACATGAAAAGTTTTCAAAAACTATAAAAAAGAATTTGGAACCTGAAAGAATCGAACTTTTGAGTCCTCGCTCTATGTCCCTCCCTCTTCCCGTCTGCGCCACTTGTGCGCTCATGGCGCAGGCGGCAAAAGAAAGGAACTTGGAGAGAAGACCCAAAAGTTCGATTCTTTCGGGCTTTAAATTCTTTTAGGAAGTTTTTGAAATAGGTTTTTGGGGTTAGGAAGTGTTGGAAATTGGATTTTCAAAGAAAAAAACCTATAACTGTTTAAAATTGACCAAAACACAAAATCTAAAAAACATATTTTCTAGCAATCTACTGTTCGTGTTATGCTATGATGTTATCCCTCCTCTCCATTCATTTCTTTTATCGTTATACCTCTGTAACCGCTCCCATGTGGCTATCCAATCGTTTTTCCTCGAAATCCTCTATTTTCTGGTTTCTATTTGTTTTCGTCTACTCAACAATCTGGGGATGCTCCAGTTATTTTCTCTGTAAACCCACCGAAAACAAAGATCGCGAATTGCTCAGAGAATTCATGAAGGAGTACTGTATGAAGCCGGAGGAGTATGCTTATGTGGGTCCTCAATATTTTTATGAGAATTTTGAAAACGGGAAGTTTAAATTCCACTGGCCATCATTCCTGGGAATTGGTATTCTGGCTTCTCAAATGAGTTCAACATTCGTACTTGTTGTATTTTTTGGAGTTAAAACTTATCAAACTCTTGTTGATAAGACCGGAAATAATTGTTTCGCTTCGAGAGAACTGCAAAAACAACTTTTCAAAACTCTGATTATCCAGACGATAATTCCATCGATTTTCATGTATTTCCCGGTGTCTTGTATGTTTTTATTCCCGATTTTTGGGTTAAAAGTTGAAGCGATGGCCAATTTAATTCCGATTTCTGTTTCTGTTTATCCATGTTTGGAACCTCTTGTTGCGCTGATTTTTATCAGAGATTTGAGAAATCGAATTGTGGGTGAGTTTAGATTTTTTAAAGTTTTCAGATTGAAATGTATTTTTAAAGTTAAAGTTCAATTTTCATTTTATTAGTATGTGCTACCAATACGATTTCGGTAACTTTACCGGTATTTTACCGGTAAAACCACCGATAAAGTTCCCGGTAAATTTACCAAAAAGTTTCGGTAATTTTCCAAAAAAATTTTCTGATTTTTTTCAAAATTTGTAACCGGACGTATTAAAGGTGGGGGGACAGGAGATTTTTCGTAGTTTTTTTGTAGCTAGAGTATGCATTCTACCGTGACGGTGTACAACGCTTAATATCACTCTGCGTACAGCTGTCGTCCTCGCCTTTATGCCCGCGTGGCTCAGTCGGTAGCGGCGCCGCACCCTCAATCATCGCCCCAACAAGTTCAACTCCTCGAGGGGGATATTTAAACGAAATTTCGAGAACATTATTTTTTTCATGTCCCCCCACCTTTAAATCCTTTTGTATGGATCATTCGTATGGATCACAGGGACAGTTTAGAACGGACCGTTTCGTAACTACGGCGTTATAGAACCGCGACGGTTCCGCACCGTGATGTTCCAGAACCGTTTTTTTTCAGAATTTCCTTGCTTTTTCTACTGCGAAAAAAATCGGAGAACCCGAATTGGCACTTTTACCACCAGCCAGACAAGTACTATATATCAAATGACAGAGCTCCAGAGACGAGGGGTCTCCTAATTTATGACCTTTTTTTCGAAATTTCTTGTAATTCTCAATTTTTGTCCTTCTGACATCATTTAACTTCCTTATCAAATAATCAGTCTAATCTTTTTGTCACTAATACGAGATGTCTGTACATAGATCAAACGAATTACCGCTTCTGCGATCAAGAAAAAAGAAATAAAGCGATCTTGAGATTTCTCTGCGTTTTCCCAAAGGTTTCAAAACAAAAATTTCAATTTGATAACCCACTGATAAGGGTCCTGATGTGTGTTTTGTTCTTTATACACTCCTCCCCTTTGGGACAGTGAGCATGTATAAAAACAGAGGGGTCATGTTTTGAAAATTTCGAAATTGAAAAAAAAAATGTTTCTCATTCTCTTGATAACGACTATTTTGGCTGTGGCTCTGGTGCACCAGTGGAGAGCAAGGAGGCAGTTACCGAGAGGTGAGAATGTTGGCTCTAAAATATCAATTACGACAGCAAAAAGATTTTGGCGCCCATAGGAATCGAACTTCTGGGTATTCTCTCCAACTCCCTCTCTCTTACCACCTGCGCCATGCGCGCGCGGCGCACGCAGGGCCGCCGAACGCCAGGGGATGGCGCAGGCGGGAACAAGGAGGAACTTGGAGCGAGGACCCAATCTCTAGACCACATTTTAAGGGTCCAATTGGATTTTTTATTTTTTCAAAAGGGTTTTTAACTTCACGGAACCTTTCAAAAATATTGAAAAAGGGTCTTTGTTCTCAAAACGTCACAAAAGATTAAGAAAAAAATCCAGGTCCATTTCCCCTCCCAATCATTGGAAATCTCCACCAACTTCTTTTCTACTGTTGGAAAAACGGAGGAATCATTGAAGGATACGCGGAAATTGAGAAATCGTTCGGAAAAGTGTACACTCTCTGGATTGGTCCCCTACCTACAGTATTCATTTCGGACTATGACGTGGCAGTGGAGACGCATATCAAAAGAGCAAATGTATTCGGAAAACGATATGCTCCGGGAATTATGAATTACATTCGATTCGATAAAGGAGTCGTCGCGTCCAACGGGGATTTCTGGCAAGATCATCGGAGATTCGCGCTGACGACGTTGAGAAATTTCGGATTTGGAAGGAATATTATGGAGGAGAGAATCATGGATGAGTATAGATATAGGTGAGGATCTTTGGAATTTCAGAGATTTCAAAAATTCAACATTTGTTATCCTCGAAAAATCGAAAATTTTGAAAAGTTCTCAATTTCTAAATCTGTTAACACTCCAACACACTTAAAATGCGCCAAGGCACAGAAAATGAGTCAAAGATCGAAAATCACGTCAAGGAACAAAGAATGCATTAGGGATCGAAACGTGCGCCGCATTTTCCGTTCCTTGACGCATTTCTAGAGTCTTGGTGAACTTTCCGTGGATTAACGCAATTTTCGAACATTGACGCATTTCTAGTGCTTTGACGCATTTCCTATTCCTTGATTCATTTCTAGTGACTTGATGCATTTCCAGTTACATGGCGCAGTTTTTGATCCTTGACACATTTTCTGTGCCTTGACGCTATGTTCGATCCATGACGCATTTTCCGTGCCTTGACACCGATATTTCTCAAATTTCGAAAAAGACTAAACTAAATTTCAGTTTTTTTCAGATTCGAAGAATTCTCATCAACTGGAAATAACAACAGATCCGGCAGTTTCACTACTTGCGCTCGCTCGTTTTTTGATTTACTAACTGGCAGTGTTATCAACAAAATTCTTATCAATGAGCGATTTGGGAGGGTTGGTTTTGAAACTTTTTTCGCTTGTTTTTGACAAACTTTAGACAGACAAAAGTTAAAGTTTTGAACTTTTAAGTCGCTTATTTTTGAAATTTTCAAATTTTGAAAAAATATTGAAAACAAGTTTGAAACCAGGAAATGAAAAGCTGTAAAAATCTGATATTGAAAAATACTGATTTTTTTAAAGGTGGGGGGACATGAAAAAAATAATGTTCTCGAAATTCCGTTCAAAGATGCCCCTCGAGGAGTTGAACTTGTGAGGGCGATGATTGAGGGTGCGGCGCCGCAACCGACTGAGCCACGCGGGCAAAGAGAAAGTTCTGATTTTCTGAATTTCTGAATTTCTGAATTTCTGAATTTCTGAATTTCTGAATTTCTGAATTTCTGAATTTCTGAATTTCTGAATTTCTGAATTTCTGAATTTCTGAATTTCTGAATTGCCTGATTTCTGTTTTTTAAAATATTTCTGAATTTTAAAATTTCAGATTTTCCAGAACTTTCAAAAGCGAACTTTTTGAATTTCTGGAAAATTTCAAAAATTCGAAAAATGCAAAGATTCTCAGAAAATTTTAAAATTCAAAAATAATAAATTCTCAAATTTCAGAAAATCAAGATGTTTTAGCTCCGCGCACTCATCCAAGTAACGTTCCCGTGTTCACATTGCTCATCTTTAATTGCCCCAAAGTTCCCGAAATCTAAAAATTCGCAACAAACATCATTTATTCTCAATTCCATAGATCAAACTCCTAATTTTCTGTAATTCCCTATAATTTTAAGAAACACACAAGTTTTCAGAAACCACCAATTATTTATAAAATGTCCCTCGAGACTCTGAAATGACATATAAAAACGTGATGAACATAAAAATACTACTTCTCATGAGCTCGTTTTCAGCCGATATTTTCAGCCAAAAAAATTGAGAAAAATTAATCTAACCTCAAATTTTCCCTTTTTTTCAACCGAAAAAAAACTCTTGAAATTTCTGAAAATTGCTAAAAATGTGCTCCCAAAAATGGCTTAATGTAACATTTTATACCGAAACTTTCGGATTTTTCCTTTCTATTTTTTTCAATGGAATCCTTTTTTCACTGGTTTACGAGAAACCAAAATCTGTATTCGGTAATTATAAATATCTGATGATGGCTTTTTCGGCACTCGGCATTTTTTATTCTTGCTGTAACTTTTGGGTCATGCCGGTGGGTTGAAATGAATGTTTTAGAACCGGTCATTTAGTAACCGCGAAGTTCGAGAACCCGAAGTTTTGGAACTAGTCATATTACACAGTTTTGAACATTTCGAACCGGTCGTTTCGCAACTCTTTAGAATTTCTAGTAAGCTGGACATTGTTGAACTGCCTATTTCAGAACGGTTTCAAAATGACCGGTTCTAAAACGTCTTTTTTGTCCATAAATGCATTATTGGCATCTTTCCAGAACGTTCATATCACCGAGTCATCATTCATTGTGTTCAGTGTGTTGAAAAATGAAAAGTTTGGAAAAGATTTTGGACCAATTGCAATTAGTAAGTTACCGAAAAAAAAAACGTAAAAATAGGAACAAAAATTTCAGAAAAAATTGATTTTTCGAATTTTTTCCGAATTTTGGTCATTTTCGTTACATCCTGACTACATGAAAAGTTTTCAAAAACTATAAAAAAGAATTTGGAACCTGAAAGAATCGAACTTTTGAGTCCTCGCTCTATGTCCCTCCCTCTTCCCGTCTGCGCCACTTGTGCGCTCATGGCGCAGGCGGCAAAAGAAAGGAACTTGGAGAGAAGACCCAAAAGTTCGATTCTTTCGGGCTTTAAATTCTTTTAGGAAGTTTTTGAAATAGGTTTTTGGGGTTAGGAAGTGTTGGAAATTGGATTTTCAAAGAAAAAAACCTATAACTGTTTAAAATTGACCAAAACACAAAATCTAAAAAACATATTTTCTAGCAATCTACTGTTCGTGTTATGCTATGATGTTATCCCTCCTCTCCATTCATTTCTTTTATCGTTATACCTCTGTAACCGCTCCCATGTGGCTATCCAATCGTTTTTCCTCGAAATCCTCTATTTTCTGGTTTCTATTTGTTTTCGTCTACTCAACAATCTGGGGATGCTCCAGTTATTTTCTCTGTAAACCCACCGAAAACAAAGATCGCGAATTGCTCAGAGAATTCATGAAGGAGTACTGTATGAAGCCGGAGGAGTATGCTTATGTGGGTCCTCAATATTTTTATGAGAATTTTGAAAACGGGAAGTTTAAATTCCACTGGCCATCATTCCTGGGAATTGGTATTCTGGCTTCTCAAATGAGTTCAACATTCGTACTTGTTGTATTTTTTGGAGTTAAAACTTATCAAACTCTTGTTGATAAGACCGGAAATAATTGTTTCGCTTCGAGAGAACTGCAAAAACAACTTTTCAAAACTCTGATTATCCAGACGATAATTCCATCGATTTTCATGTATTTCCCGGTGTCTTGTATGTTTTTATTCCCGATTTTTGGGTTAAAAGTTGAAGCGATGGCCAATTTAATTCCGATTTCTGTTTCTGTTTATCCATGTTTGGAACCTCTTGTTGCGCTGATTTTTATCAGAGATTTGAGAAATCGAATTGTGGGTGAGTTTAGATTTTTTAAAGTTTTCAGATTGAAATGTATTTTTAAAGTTAAAGTTCAATTTTCATTTTATTAGTATGTGCTACCAATACGATTTCGGTAACTTTACCGGTATTTTACCGGTAAAACCACCGATAAAGTTCCCGGTAAATTTACCAAAAAGTTTCGGTAATTTTCCAAAAAAATTTTCTGATTTTTTTCAAAATTTGTAACCGGACGTATTAAAGGTGGGGGGACAGGAGATTTTTCGTAGTTTTTTTGTAGCTAGAGTATGCATTCTACCGTGACGGTGTACAACGCTTAATATCACTCTGCGTACAGCTGTCGTCCTCGCCTTTATGCCCGCGTGGCTCAGTCGGTAGCGGCGCCGCACCCTCAATCATCGCCCCAACAAGTTCAACTCCTCGAGGGGGATATTTAAACGAAATTTCGAGAACATTATTTTTTTCATGTCCCCCCACCTTTAAATCCTTTTGTATGGATCATTCGTATGGATCACAGGGACAGTTTAGAACGGACCGTTTCGTAACTACGGCGTTATAGAACCGCGACGGTTCCGCACCGTGATGTTCCAGAACCGTTTTTTTTCAGAATTTCCTTGCTTTTTCTACTGCGAAAAAAATCGGAGAACCCGAATTGGCACTTTTACCACCAGCCAGACAAGTACTATATATCAAATGACAGAGCTCCAGAGACGAGGGGTCTCCTAATTTATGACCTTTTTTTCGAAATTTCTTGTAATTCTCAATTTTTGTCCTTCTGACATCATTTAACTTCCTTATCAAATAATCAGTCTAATCTTTTTGTCACTAATACGAGATGTCTGTACATAGATCAAACGAATTACCGCTTCTGCGATCAAAGAAAAAAGAAATAAAGCGATCTTTGAGATTTTCTCTGCGTCTTTCCCAAAGGTTTCAAAACAAAAATTTCAATTTGATAACCCACTGATAAGGGTCCTGATGTGTGTTTTGTTCTTTATACACTCCTCCCCTTTGGGACAGTGAGCATGTATAAAAACAGAGGGGTCATGTTTTGAAAATTTCGAAATTGAAAAAAAAAATGTTTCTCATTCTCTTGATAACGACTATTTTGGCTGTGGCTCTGGTGCACCAGTGGAGAGCAAGGAGGCAGTTACCGAGAGGTGAGAATGTTGGCTCTAAAATATCAATTACGACAGCAAAAAGATTTTGGCGCCCATAGGAATCGAACTTCTGGGTATTCTCTCCAACTCCCTCTCTCTTACCACCTGCGCCATGCGCGCGCGGCGCACGCAGGGCCGCCGAACGCCAGGGGATGGCGCAGGCGGGAACAAGGAGGAACTTGGAGCGAGGACCCAATCTCTAGACCACATTTTAAGGGTCCAATTGGATTTTTTATTTTTTCAAAAGGGTTTTTAACTTCACGGAACCTTTCAAAAATATTGAAAAAGGGTCTTTGTTCTCAAAACGTCACAAAAGATTAAGAAAAAAATCCAGGTCCATTTCCCCTCCCAATCATTGGAAATCTCCACCAACTTCTTTTCTACTGTTGGAAAAACGGAGGAATCATTGAAGGATACGCGGAAATTGAGAAATCGTTCGGAAAAGTGTACACTCTCTGGATTGGTCCCCTACCTACAGTATTCATTTCGGACTATGACGTGGCAGTGGAGACGCATATCAAAAGAGCAAATGTATTCGGAAAACGATATGCTCCGGGAATTATGAATTACATTCGATTCGATAAAGGAGTCGTCGCGTCCAACGGGGATTTCTGGCAAGATCATCGGAGATTCGCGCTGACGACGTTGAGAAATTTCGGATTTGGAAGGAATATTATGGAGGAGAGAATCATGGATGAGTATAGATATAGGTGAGGATCTTTGGAATTTCAGAGATTTCAAAAATTCAACATTTGTTATCCTCGAAAAATCGAAAATTTTGAAAAGTTCTCAATTTCTAAATCTGTTAACACTCCAACACACTTAAAATGCGCCAAGGCACAGAAAATGAGTCAAAGATCGAAAATCACGTCAAGGAACAAAGAATGCATTAGGGATCGAAACGTGCGCCGCATTTTCCGTTCCTTGACGCATTTCTAGAGTCTTGGTGAACTTTCCGTGGATTAACGCAATTTTCGAACATTGACGCATTTCTAGTGCTTTGACGCATTTCCTATTCCTTGATTCATTTCTAGTGACTTGATGCATTTCCAGTTACATGGCGCAGTTTTTGATCCTTGACACATTTTCTGTGCCTTGACGCTATGTTCGATCCATGACGCATTTTCCGTGCCTTGACACCGATATTTCTCAAATTTCGAAAAAGACTAAACTAAATTTCAGTTTTTTTCAGATTCGAAGAATTCTCATCAACTGGAAATAACAACAGATCCGGCAGTTTCACTACTTGCGCTCGCTCGTTTTTTGATTTACTAACTGGCAGTGTTATCAACAAAATTCTTATCAATGAGCGATTTGGGAGGGTTGGTTTTGAAACTTTTTTCGCTTGTTTTTGACAAACTTTAGACAGACAAAAGTTAAAGTTTTGAACTTTTAAGTCGCTTATTTTTGAAATTTTCAAATTTTGAAAAAATATTGAAAACAAGTTTGAAACCAGGAAATGAAAAGCTGTAAAAATCTGATATTGAAAAATACTGATTTTTTTAAAGGTGGGGGGACATGAAAAAAATAATGTTCTCGAAATTCCGTTCAAAGATGCCCCTCGAGGAGTTGAACTTGTGAGGGCGATGATTGAGGGTGCGGCGCCGCAACCGACTGAGCCACGCGGGCAAAGAGAAAGCGGACGCCCGATTGCATACATAAAGGCGAGGGCGACAGCTGTACGCAGAGTGACATTAAGCGTTGTACACTGTGACGGTAGAATGCATACTCTAGCTACAAAAAAAACTACGAAAAATCTCCTGTCCCCCCACCTTTAAATTAAAAAATGACAATTTCAAAAATAATTTTTTCAGGACGATCAAGACTTCCAAAAACTGAAAACAAGTTTGTCAAAGGGACTAGAACAAACAGGATTTCTGGATATTTTTTGTCCAGTGGACATTCTGATGTCCAAATGGCTCGCATGGAAACAGGGACCAATATTTGAATCATTCGATTGGATTTTGGAATTAACGAAAAGACATATAGCCAGAAGAGTCTCACAAATTGAAAGTGGTGAACACATTTTACATGATGAGCCTGATGATTTTTTGGATGCCTATTTGATGAAAAAGGAGAAGGATGAGAGGGAAGGATTGGAGACACTTTTACGTAAGTTGCAGAGATTGGAAAATTTAAAAATCTGAAATTTTGATTTTTGAGAGTCATTTCAAGTTAAAATTCATAAAAATCGGATAAAAATGAGTAAAGTTATGTGATTTGAAAAAAAAAAATTCGAAAAATTTTGAAAATTTTAAGTTTTCAAAACCTTATAACGTTGCTAAATTCGCCATCAATTTTTATTAATTTTATCTTGAATTGACCACCAAAATTTCAGATTTCTAACTTTTAAAATTTCCAGCCTAGAAAACTTGGCTGTTGATATGTACGACCTCTGGTTGGCCGGACAAGAAACAACATCAACTACTCTGACATGGGCGTGTGTTTGTCTTCTGAATAAGCCAGAAGTGATTCAGAAGGCTCGAGAAGAATTGATTCATGTAACCGGAGGAAATCGATCACTTTCATTGATAGATAAAAAAGTGACACCGTATTTGGCAGCGGTTATTAGTGTAAGTAAAAAGGGGCGGAGTCTAAAATTTTGAAAATTTCGAAAATTTCCAAAGTTAGTTATGTTTGGGACCAATTTGAAGCTCTGAACGAGTCAAATTCAAAAATTTAGACATTATTGAATCACAGAATTTCGAAAAAAATGTAGTTTGAAGTTTTTTTATAAATGAACATTTGTTCTGAAACTAGCCAATATACGGACTTTAGATTTTTTTTTCTGAATTTCTGAATTTCTGAATTTCTGAATTTCTGAATTTCTGAATTTCTGAATTTCTGAATTTCTGAATTTCTGAATTTCTGAATTTCTGAATTTCTGAATTTCTGAATTTCTGAATTTCTGAATTTCTGAATTTCTGAATTTCTGAATTTCTGAATTTCTGAATTTCTGAATTTCTGAATTTCTGAATTTCTGAATTTCTGAATTTCTGAATTTCTGAATTTCTGAATTTCTGAATTTTTGAATTTTTGAATTTTTGAATTTTTGAATTTTTGAATTTTTGAATTTTTGAATTTTTGAATTTTTGAATTTTTGAATTTTTGAATTTTTGAATTTTTGAATTTTTGAATTTTTGAATTTTTGAATTTTTGAATTTTTGAATTTTTGAATTTCTGAATTTTTGAATTTTTGAATTCTTGAATTTTTGAATTTTTGAATTTTTGAATTTTTGCATTTTTGAATTTTTGAATTTTAGAATTTTTGCATTTTTGAATTTTTGAATTTTTGAATTTTTGAATTTTTGAATTTTTGAATTTTTGAATTTTTGAATTTTTGAATTTTTGAATTTTTGAATTTTTGAATTTTTGAATTTTTGAATTTTTGAATTTTTGAATTTTTGAATTTTTGAATTTTTGAATTTTTGAATTTTTGAATTTTTGAATTTTTGAATTTTTGAATTTTTGAATTTTTGAATTTTTGAATTTTTTGAATTTTTTGAATTTTTTGAATTTTTTGAATTTTTTGAATTTTTGAATTTTTTGAATTTTTGAATTTTTGAATTTTTGAATTTCCAAATTTTCAATTTCCAGGAAGTCCAACGAATTTCTTCAATTGTAAATGTGAATTTGTTCCGAATAATTGAACAAGATACAGTAATCGATGGACAACCACTTCGTGCCGGAACCGCAATCACCGCCCATATCGGAATGATTCATGTGGATGAGGATTTGTTCAAAAATCATTTGGAATTTGATCCAGAAAGATTTATAAGAGAAGAGGGATTGGACAAGAAATTGATTCCATTCGGAATTGGAAAACGGGCGTGTCTTGGGGAATCCCTCGCCAAGGCTGAGTTGTATTTGGTAAGCCTGGGTGTCTGGATGTCTGCAATTTTTTTCTCGAAAATTGAAATTTTTTATTTTCTGGGTTTTTTTGAAACACAGTAATCCAAATTTTTTATTTCAAAATTTAAAAAATTCAAATTTTCAGGTTCTCGGAAATCTTCTCATAGACTATAATCTGGAACCAGTCGGAAATGTCCCCTCAATGAAAAGCATCACTCCATTTGGATTTTTGAAACGACCTGAACAATTTGATGTCAAATTTGTGGCCGTTAAATAATTCTATTTTTTGTATATTTTCTGTATAAATGTATTTTTTTAAACAAAAAATTCAACATTGTTTATTTAATTCAAAAAAATGATTCCCTCTGTGTAGACGACATTTGAACCCTTGCAGTTCTCGAGCATGTTATGAAATCTGAAAATTCAAATTAAATAGGTCAAACTACAGTAACCCACCAATTATCCGATGTCGAAAGTCTTTGATACAATACATGGCAACTAGGGGTTCTAGGCAAGGATATATAGATACAGTAATCGGAATAAAAATTGAAATTTCCGATATTTTCAGACCAATCATTGGAAATAGAAACATACATGAAACTGGAAAATACATGAAAATCGATGGAATTATTGTTTGAATAATTAGAGTTTTGAAAAGTTGTTTTTGCAGTTCTTTGGTCCCAAAACTGGTTAACCCGATTTTTTGAAGGGTTCGAAAAGTGTGAAATCCGAAAAATGACATTCCAAAAAATGTGGAACACATTAGACAAGACATTATAAATATACATAGGAAAGAGGGAATGTGAAGTTTGCGAATTCCATAATCAAAATAATAATATTTGGCGCCAATATATCCGAATTGATCAGAAGCTAAACAGTATTCCTCCAAAAATGTTGGAATAAATTCCAGGTTTTTGAAATCCGATGGTCCATTGATAAAATAGGTTAGGAGTGCCCAAATTGTGAAAAATGAGAAACTATAGAAAATGAAAAATGGAGCATTTTTTCGAGAGAATCTTGTACTGTTTAATGGAGAGATGACGGATGTGTAGCGGTAGAAAAATTGAAGCGATAGTAGAGATAAAAGAAGGGCGTAGGAGGAACAGTAGAGAGCTGAAATTTTGGAAATTACAGAGATTTTGGAAATTACAGGAACGTTAAACATTTTATAACTTTCCAAATGTTGATTATCTACTTTTTCTTTTTTTTAAACTTTCTTATTTTATCATTTTCAATGTTTCCGATTTTCAGAACTTTTTGAATTTCGAAACTTGGAAAAGTCTGATTTTTCTGAAATTCGGCATTTCAGAACTTTCAGGATTAAAAACAATTTTCACTTTTCGGATTTTTTGAATTTCTTTATTTCTGAAATTTTGAAGTTTCGATTGTCATAATTTTTGAGTTTTCAAATTTTTGAATTTGCGGATCTTTGGTAATCTGAATTTTTTAAGTTTTGATTATTTGAATTTTTGAAATTCTCGAATTTTTGAATTTTCGAAATTTTTGATATTCGAATTTTTGCAATTTTTTTGAATTTCGGAATTTTGAGAATTTCGAATTTTTTTGGAATTTCAGAAATTCAGAAATTCAGTATTTCGAGAAATCTGAAATCGAAAAATTCAGAAATTCGGAAATTCAGACATTCAGAAGTTCAGAGTTTTCGAGTTTTCAAATTTTCGATTTTTCAAGTTTGGAAATTTGGAAATATGGAAAGTCTGAAATTTGGAAATTTACATTTTTCGCATATTTTCAAAATTTTTTAAATTTCGATTTCATCAATAATGATAACTCACTGATCAAAATCACTCCGATTTCTTTCGAAACCCCGGAATCTTTCAAAATTGTAAAAATGGCAAAACTGGTTTCAGACAAATGAATATTCTGGAAAAAATTTCAACAAAAAATTATCCCAAAAAAGGGATTTACCGGTTTACACCAAAAATTCAAACCCGAATAAAAAATTCCAGTTGCCGAAAACGAAATCATCAAATATTTATAGTTTCCAAATGTGGACTTTGGCTTCTCCAAAATCAAAAATATTAGAATAAAATGAGCCGAAATAGAGAGGAAAAATCCAATAAATTCCACCCAAAAAGTGATTTCTAGCCATTTTGTAGAGGGACACATTTTTGAAATGTTAGAATTTTTTGAAGATCTAGCTCAAAATTCTGAGAATTTGTGATGTTTCGTTTCTAGTTTTACGTGATAAAAATTGGTAAAAATTAGTTTTCCCACGTCTAGAAACTCAGTCATTTGGATCATAAAGCTTCCGTGTGCTCTTTGGTTTCTAGTATATTCACGTATCTTGAAAAAGGACCAAACTACAAAAATCAGCAAAAAAAAATCTAAAATTATCAAAAACCATTACACCTTTTCATTTTTGTCTTTTTTCAGCGAAAATCAGGGCTGGGCGAGCAATTGGCTTTTGTGGGAAACAAATTGCAAAACACACGCATTTTGCCAAAAAAGGGCAGAGCCTCGGCACACGCAAAGTATAGTAGTGGATGAACCCGTGAAGTGTCAGAGAATGACTACCCACGGCGCGCAGTTGAAAAAATAAAACAAAACTTGAGTTCCCACCGTTTCGTGTCGAGACCCATCGGCGTAATTACGTGCGCCTTTAATCGCAATTTTCTCACGCGAGAGAAAAATTTGAAAATTTTCGAGGTTTTTGTCCCTTCCTTATAAAGAAACACTAATACTTTTTTTCAGACTTCCGCCGGTAAACCAAAAAAAACAGAAGTGAACTTTAACACCTTTAAAGGTGGGGGGACATGAAAAAAATAATGTTCTCGAAATTTCGTTTAAATATGCCCCTCGAAGAGTTGAACTTGTCGAGACTAGTATTGACGGTGCGGCGCCGCTACCGACTGAGCCACGCGGGCAAAGAGGCAGCCGGCGCCCGATTGCATTCATAAAGGTGAGGACGACCGCTGTACGCAGAGTGACATTAAGCGTTGTACACCGTCACGATAGAATGCATACCCTAGCTACAAAAATCCTACGAAAAATCTCCTGTCCCCCCCTCCTTTAATGTTTTTATGATTAGAGTCTTTATAATGATTATGTTGTTGTATTTTTCCAGACGAAATAAAATAATCCCTGTTACAAACTGTTTTTCTTCGTTCAAAAAAGTTTCAATTCAATTTAAGAAAAATATGTTCGACTACCTTTCAATTTTGAGGGGGCAAAAAAAAAACGCCCCGCCTCTACACCAATGGCAACACCGTTTCACAGCTTCAGGCCTATTTTTCTCTGACAATGATGCTTTATAGTAAATTCTGATATTATATTTGTAAATAACGTGTTCTCAGCTTTCCGATGATATAGATCATGAGTCATAACTCCACAATGCCGATTTCTAATAAGTTGACAGTTAGAAAGCACTTTGAGCACAGCTAACTTTCAACGTATCTCATTGTTTGCACTCCCTATTTTTGTATGAATAATTTCTTGTATGCTTACAGTTTGGTTCGAAGTTCTCTTATATGTTCTTCTTGTTTGTTAATCCTAGCACATCTCAATGCGCCTATAAATAAACTCCCTAGAACTAAATTATATTTTTTTGCAATACGTTTTGATAATTTTTTTTATCGAGAAAATTTCGTTGTTTTTCTCTAATTCACCTTTTTTTCATATACATATCAAACATGAGAATGTATTATTCATTTCCTTTTCCCCTTCAATTCTCTTTTTTTTCAACTTTAATTTTTCTCAAAACTCGGCAGTGTGAATGTAATTTTTCAGAAGACTCCCGGTTGAAATGTCAACAAAAAATCACGAGAAAATGTCAACAATACTGGAAGAAAAAGAATACGTGAAACTTTTCGAAACGAGGTTTGCGTTTTTCACTAATTCTAAAAAAAGTTTAACTGAAGATATGATGAAATGGCTAAGAAATAGGGACTTGGGACTCATGGGACTTGGGACTCATTACTGATTCCTCTCTCAAATTCTCTGCTCACATCAACAAAATCACATCTCTAGCTCTTCTCCGTTCCAAACAACTCTTAAAGTCATTTAGATCTAAGTCTCCAGAATTCTACATTCATCTTTTCAAATGTTATGTTCTCCCGATTCTGGAATATAAGAAGTAGTGAATTTCAAAATTTTCAATTCTCGGAGGAAAAATCAAAAATGAATCAAATTTCTGTAATTTATCACAGAAAAATTTCAACTTCTGATAAATAGCATAATCGCTGGGTTTTTTATCAGAAATATTTTATTTCAACGTAACCACGGGAAATATGGTATTAATTACATTATTTTTGCTGATTTTCAGTTTTTTAATTTTTATGGTTTTTAGTTGGCTTTCAGAAAAGGAACACTTCAATTTTTGCAAAAATTTACGTGGTTCACAGAAAAATAACGTTTCAATTTCTGGGATTTTTCCCAGAATTCGAACGGTTCGAGTTCTGGGATTTTGGGGATATTCACGTGATTCACAGAATTCGAACGGTTCGAGTTCTGGGATTCCAAAAAAAGAGAAACGAATGTGGAAAAAGGGGGCATAAAAATTATAATGATGGGAGATAAAAACAAAAGAAACATGAAGAAGTGTGCTAGTTTTCCATTATCATGTCATCCGTAACAACTGGATTCGGTGGCATTCTTCCAGCATTGAATCCTTGAGATTTCAAATATTGCAGAATCGTCGTGTGTTCAGTGTCAAAATCAATGTTTCCGTGAGATGGCGTGGTAGATGATGATTTTTCTTTGATAAGTTGCAACGTTCTTAGATAAGCTGCAAAACCAAAGATAATTCAAGTATTCAACTTTACGTACATTTCTTTCCATAGCTGGAAACTGAATCTTCAAAATTGTCCTTGTTGTTTTGCGAGAACATTGATCCTCCATGTTTGAAGAGACTCAATATGAACTCACAACTTTCCAATTCTTTTTTTTCAGGAAGCTTTTGTCAATAATAACAGCCATCCGTGATTTATTCAATGCCCTCGGCAATGTATTCATAGGAGAAACCGTAGAAAAGTATTACTTTATCTTTTATCTTGCTTTTGAACAGCATGTCTATATTATATTAGAAAAAATCTGTAGAACAGAGGAATTCTAGAACAACAGAAACCAATCAACAAAAAATCCAATCAGCTCTTGGCACGTATCTCGATACGTGTAATCTAATATCTATGTCGCGTGTGAATATATATCTATGTTGCGTGTGAATTTATACAAGTAAAAACTGGATCATTCAGGATACATATGATCCATCAACATTCCAACCTGACATTCGCCGTCCATGTATTGAAGGTGTTCAGGAGAAATGCTTGGCTCTCTTCAAACATGGAGGATCAATGTTCTCGCAAAACAACAAGGACAATTTTGAAGATTCAGTTTCCAGCTATGGAAAGAAATGTACGTAAAGTTGAATACTTGAATTATCTTTGGTTTTGCAGCTTATCTAAGAACGTTGCAACTTATCAAAGAAAAATCATCATCTACCACGCCATCTCACGGAAACATTGATTTTGACACTGAACACACGACGATTCTGCAATATTTGAAATCTCAAGGATTCAATGCTGGAAGAATGCCACCGAATCCAGTTGTTACGGATGACATGATAATGGAAAACTAGCACACTTCTTCATGTTTCTTTTGTTTTTATCTCCCATCATTATAATTTTTATGCCCCCTTTTTCCACATTCGTTTCTCTTTTTTTGGAATCCCAGAACTCGAACCGTTCGAATTCTGTGAATCACGTGAATATCCCCAAAATCCCAGAACTCGAACCGTTCGAATTCTGGGAAAGATCCCAGAAATCGAAACGTTATATTTCTGTGAACCATTTGTATTTTTAATAAATGATTATAATACGTATAAAATAGAAAGTATGAAAAGTTGAAAACAGAAAAAACATTCTCTCTAAGTGTATTTTCCAGCGTTGTAATATCCAGTACAGTTCCTATTCTGATCGTCTCTCTATCCTCAATATGTTCTCCATTCGTCATCGTAGGCTAAAAGCTCAACTAATTCTTCTCTATAAATTTTTAAATGGCTCCGCCTACTTTCCTAACCTAAATGCGCATGTCAAATACTCCTCCTCCCCTCGTCGCCCTATGAACTTAATTATTGTTCAGCCCTACTCCTCTGACTATTTTTCTTCAATTGTTCCCCTGTGGAACGCCAACACTTCCCAAGTTACCCGATTTCTCCTACCTTCCGAGTTTGAATCCTTAATTTCTTCCAGTATTACCCGTTATTGATATATTTGCTCCCCTATTTTTCTTTTTCTACCGGTTACATCTTTCCTGTGTCAAATATCTAAATTATCCCGTTTCCCCGCCCCTACTCAGATCGGCCTCGTGAGGGGCATTTTTTCTGAGTCTTTCATGTCCTGCACCTAATGTTTTATTACACCTGATCAATAAATTAAATTAAATTAAATGCGGACTGATTGGTACCGACAAGAAATTGTTTTCTGCAAACGAACTCACTTTCGAACAAAAACGTAATCTTGCTGATTTTGAGAAGACTGACAAGTTTACGCTAATCGAAATTTATTATTCCCTAATCGAAATTTATTTGGAGAAAAATTCCTTTTTTTCCAGAAAACTTTATGCTATTGTGACACGAAAACTATTGAACTTCCTCATTGACAATGAGGACTCGCTTGCCACTCCTGAACATTTCTTCAAAGATGCATGTGAAAAATTGAAGTTCAACAAAGAAGATGCGGAATTTCTGGAAGCAGGGTACACATTTCTAACTGATTATGCGAAAAAAAAGTTTAGCAACAGATACAATGATATGGCTAAGAAATGCGGACAAATCGGTATCGATGAAGAAGTGATTCCGGCAAACAAACTCACTGTTGAACAAGGACTCCATCTTGACGAATTTTGCAAGTGTTGCATTGAGAGATAACTGGTTTTTTAGATTATCTAAAACTTTTGTTCAGGAAAACTTCTTTTTGACGGATTCATCTTAACCTCAATAGGCGGGGCAAAATTTTTGGTCATTTCCTAGTAAGCGTGTGTGATAGAAAATTCCTTTTGAGATATCTCCGAACAATAAAAGGATCAATATTTGTACCACAGGTTTTACCGTACACCTATATCATGTTCACTTTTTTCAAACCTAAAGTATAGTATATCAGAATGCTTCATGCTGACATGCCACAAAAACTATTAAACTTCCTTATTTACAATGAGGAACCGTTTTCAAAGTCTGAAGGTCTCTTCGAAGCTGCATGTGAAAAATTGGAGACCATTGAGAAATGTGCGAAGTTTCTGGAAATAATGTACGAATTTCTCCCTAATAGCGTAATGATCGTGTGACTTCAGATACAATGAAATGGGTAAGAAACGCGGACTGGTCGAGAGGGGGAAAGTGATTCCTGCCAGGGTTGCAATCTGACGGGCTGGCCGGCGGGCCGGCCCGAGGGAAAAAAACCAGGGCCCGGCCCGGTCATTTCAGCAATGTGGCTCCAACTGAAAAGTCCTCAAGTGCGAAAAAATACGTTGGAGCGAAGAATAGTCGAAAGTCTTTGGTTTCCACCAACCAAAAAGGTGCTTCAGCCACTTCGGTATGTTCACTGATTTTTTTTTAAATGTCACAATTACATATTTTCAGACTCCCGTCGCCAAACGCGACACTGGTAAATCAAAAAACCATTCATCTTCTTCGATGTCAGATCCGGATTTTAAATGATACGATTATGCTGTTGTATTCTGCTAGAGTAAATAAAACAATCATTGTTACCTAATTCATTTCTTAAAACAATATCCATTTCAGTAAAGAAACCTGGTGGTTTGGCAAAAAACAATAAAATAAGCCAACTGAAATTTTCCAGGCGTTCTTTCTGACCTTCTTTGCACTATCTCCTTTATCTTTAAGAACCTTGCCCTTTTCAATTTCTTTACAAATTTTTGCGCCCAAAAATCAAACAACATCTGTTCAACGTATCAATTATCACTTGTTTTTGTTAGAATTACAATTTTTATCTTTCAACTTTTGGCTGAAAAACACGCCCCTTCAAATGTATAAAATCTCTGAAAATTTTTTCAGTTACAATTTTTTTTGTTCCAACCAAATTTCAGCCAACAAATCTCATTTATCACTTTCAGCCGTTCTTTCTGATTTGATAATAAAAAATAACACCCGTCGTTGGAGGTAAAAAAGCTGAGAAGCAAAACGAATTTGGCATTAAAAATGACTTCCGAAGAGCCAGAATTTTCAATGGACTATGGCTACACGGACTATATAACTATGGAACCCACTATTCATCAAATAATTATTAGTATCTCATTAGATTTGAACGTTTTCCTTCAACTTTTCACAATTATCACAAATGTATTCCATCTAATAGTTCTCTTTCAAAAAGAGCTCAGATCCGGTGCAATTTATATTTTAATGATGGGAATTTGTTTTTTTGACGTTTTAAACTTCCTTCTGGATTTTTATGACTACGGAGCCATGCAATCCTGGTGGACTATCCCCTTTAATTTTATCACTGGATGTTTGGATTTGAAATATTCTTATATCAACCCATTTTCTTATATAACCAACCAATTGATACGGATAACTCGTCCCACGGCAACATGGTTGGCGATTCTGATGGCCTTGATAAGAACGTTATCAGTAATTTTTCCGATGAGCAATTGGATTCAGAATATGACAAAATCTAGACATGTCATTTCTATGATTTTTGTGGTTTTTGGATTTTGGATGGTTTTCTATTCCTGGACTTTTGTGTTTTATAGAGTTGTTTGGTATCCAGATGTGTTGGATAAAACGTGAGTTAGTAAGGAGAGAGACGCAGAAAAGCTAGACACTCTAACTGTCTGCGCCCTCTCCTCATAGGGTAAGGGCAAGGGCAAGGTAATGCTCTCTTCAAAGTCATACAATTTTCATGAAAATTTTATAAATCAGAAAGAAAAATATGATTTCAATTTTCTGAAATTTTCATCATGCCCCAGCAATTTTGAGACGAGTTACAGATCAACTTGTAAGGGGAGAGAAGCAGCCGGCTGGTTGCTCCCTCCTCTCTAGCCGTCATAACTCTCTTTAGAATTTGAGAAACTTTATGAAAATCTCAGAATTCAAAAAACAAGATTTGATTCACATCTTCTGAAATTGTCATTCAATTCTGACAACTATGAGAGGAGTTACGAGCCAACTTGCAAAAAGGGAGACGCAAAGAAGCTAGACACTCTCGTTGTTTGCGCTCTCCCTCTCTCTCTCTCTTTACTCCTCTCTTGAAATTCGTTTTTCTAGTTGCGACGGCTACAAGGAAGAGTTCAAAACTTCCAAACTACACATTCTGGTAATCCCCACAGAATACACAAAATACCAATTCAAACAAGACAACCTGGATCCATTCATCAAATTCATTCCAACTGTTTTATATCCGATTCTCACAATTGCATTGTTATTCCAATTAAGATCAATTAAGAAAAAACGAGAGAATGTTCAGAAGAATTCATTAAGTGATCGATCGGATAAAACAACGAAATTGATATTAGCAATGACGATTTGTTTGATGTTATCTGAGGGATTATCTGGTTTAGTTGGGTTATTACTGAAAATTCAGGCGGAGAAGTTTTCCGATCCAGAGGCAGTGGTTACGGTAGCAGATGAGGAATGGATGTGAGTTTTTGTTATGTTGACTGTGTAGCTGAGCAGGTGCCACGTAGCTAACAAACTAAACTTAAGCTTATAAGCAAACAAGTTAAATGTAAGCTTAACAATAAGATAAGCTTCCTTGAGCTACACAGTCGTATTTCCCCTTTCCTGTCCCTTTAAAATTTTTCAAAAAATTTCCAGAGCTCTTCTGGAAACCCTCTCCTACATCTGTAAGAACCTTGTCACTTTCAACGCTTCCACCCATCCATTTTTCTGTTTCATCATGTCCTCACAGTATCGGGATACTGTAAAAGCAATGTTTTGTAAACCCAAAAAGAAGAATTCTCAGGTAAAAACCCATTTAAAGTCAATTTTAAAGGAATTTCCAGACTATAAAAGTCAGCTCAGCCAGTACTGCTAATCGAAGTAAGACGAGGAGTTATTAGCTGGTTTTTGGGATCTAACATCAATTTTCGCTTTTCAGTACATGGTAATTATTTTTTGTTATTGTCAGAATAACAGCAATTGGTATTCTAACTTGATGTCTGGAAAATCACGTGACTCGGAAAGTTATGTGTCATTTAATAATCTGAAAAATCATAATCTGGAAATCATTATTCTGAAAACTCCCAGTCTGAAAATCTCCATTATTTATAAAAAATGGTTTCCGAGGAACCAGGATTTTTCGATGGTGAAACTGACTATGGCTATGATGAGTATTATAATATGGAAACAGATATTCACAAGGATATTTATAGAATTTCCCAGAAAATCAATATTTTTCTTCAATTTCTAACAATTTCCACTAATATCTTCCATCTAATTGTTCTCCTTCAAAAAGAGCTTCGTTCCGGAGCAATATATATTTTGATGACTGGAATTTGCTTCTGTGACGTCATCAATTTCCTTCTAGACTTTTATAATGTTGGAATCGAGAGAGTTTGGTGGTCCAACCCTTTTTCATTTATCGCCACCTGTTTGGATTTTAAATATATGTATGTCAGCCCATTCCATTATTCAATCCAGCAAATTATTCGAATAACTCGTCCCACAGCAACATGGTTGGCTATTCTGATGGCATTGATAAGAACGTTATCAGTAATGTTTCCAATGAGCAATTGGATTCAGAATATTACCAAATCCAGAAATGTCGTATTTATGATTTTTGGGGTTTTTGGGTTTTGGACGGTTTTCTATTCTTGGAGCTTGGTTTTACACAGAGTTGTTTGGTATCCGGATGTATTGAATAAGGAGTGAGTGGGGCAAGGACAAGGGAGGGGCAAGGGGTCATCCTTGGAATGAAGGTTTAGGGGGACCTTAAGGTCTTAACACTAGGCCAGCATGAACAAGGGCAAGGTAACGGCAAGGTAAAGGCAAGGTGAAGGCAATGTAAGGACAAGGTAAGGGCATGAGTTCCTTCTCTTGCTGGTCCTTGGCATACCTTGGCCCTTATCTCAAATTACTTCATCTTGAATTACCTCGAAGCAAAGGATGGACAAGGTGTCCTTGGCTTGAACAGTTTATGAGAGCAAGGGTCCTTAAGGTCTTAACAAGAGGTCTATAAGCGCAAGGGCAAGATAAGGACAAGGTGTCCTCTCCTTGGCACTGCAGCAAAAATAAAGAATTTTCAATGGTTTGACCAAAATTAATATATCATTCCAGATGCTACTTCTACAAAGAACACAAAAAAATCAAAAAGAACATATTGGTCATCCCCAGTGAATATGGGGAATTACAATTCAAACAAGACTCATGGGACCCATTTGTCAAGTTTATTCCAACTATTTTATATCCAATTCTAACAATTGCATTGTTATTCCAATTAAGAGCAATTAAGAAAAAACGAGAGAATGTTCAGAAGAATTCATTAAGTGATCGATCGGATAAAACAACGAAATTGATATTAGCAATGACGATTTGTTTGATGTTATCTGAGGGATTATCTGGTTTAGTTGGGTTACTAATTCAAATTAAGACTGCTAAATTGGCGGATCCTTCTGGAGACTTTACAGAAGAAGAGGTTGAATGGGTGTAAGTTTAAGCTAACAATCTAAGCTTAAGCTTAGGAGCTTGCTTGAGCTACGCCGTCGTAATTGACTTACTGTAAAATTTCCAGAGCTCTCCTCGGAACCGCCTTATTCATCTGCAAGAATCTTGTCACTTTCAACGCTTCCACCCATCCATTTTTCTGTTTCATCATGTCCTCACAGTATCGGGATACTGTAAAAGCAATGTTTTGTAGAGCTAAAAAGAAGAAATTCACAGTGAGACTTTTGAAAATTGGGTAGATTTTCGAAAAGTTAAATTTTTCAGACTATCAAAGTGAGCTCGGCTAGTGTTTCCAGTGAAAGCAACAAAACGAAGAGTTATTGATTTTTTTGAATAAACTATTTTTTTTGAAGTTTTAAGTATGAATTCACACTTTCAACCTTCCTTGAGAGAGAGAGAGAGAGAGAGAGAGAGAGAGAGAGAGAGAGAGAGAGAGAGAGAGAGAGAGAGACCCCTCTCTCTCTGCGCCTTCCTCTCCAACGGTCATACCTCTCTTCGAAAATGCTGGAACTTTCGATTCGATTGATATTCGATATAAACAGGATTCGATTGATATTTCCTGTGAGTTTCATGTAATTCTGACCGATTCGAAGGGAGTTATAGAAGTTTGAAGAGATGCAGAGAAGCTTGACGCTCTCGTTGTCTGCGCCTCTTGTTTCAAACGCTCATAACTCTCTTCAAAATAGTTCATTTCGGATGAAATTCTCGGAATTTGAAAACCAAGATTTGATTCACATCTTCTGAATTTTTAATCAATTTTTGATTAGTTTGAAGGGAGTTATAGGCGATTGTGTGCGACTAGAGACTATGGCTAGTTTTTTTTTCTGAATTTTTGCTCCAAACTTCTTTAAAAATCGATTTATGGCATTTTCAAAGATTTTTCAAAAAATGTGCGATAGATTCAAATGTGAGATTCTCCGTTTTTCCAAACTTTTTTAATGGAAAATTTGAATTTTTTTTTCAGATTCTCATAATGGAATCAGTAAACTCAATGTTCCCATTGCCACTGGTAATGGTCAAACAAATTGGTTATTTCGTATCAATTGGTTGGTGGTATGATTTCAACAACAAAAAATATAATTTTTGAAAAATATTTTTTTTCCAGTGGGATTTATCTGAGATCAGAAAATAATTTGATTTTTCCACATTTCACATCATCTGGAAAGGAAGAAATGTCAGCGAAAACTCTGTTGTTTTTGACCTATTTGAAAGAAATTGTAGGCATTCGTTTGCTAAGAGAGACGCAGAGAAGCTATACACTCTAGCTGTCTGCGCCTTCAAACCCCCGTAACTCTTATCCACATCATCCAGTTTCTCTGAAAATTTCTGATTGCACTAAGCAAAACAAGGCAGTTCTGATAATTATAATCAGCTAGAATTCTTTCAGAGAACAGCGCCTAAAATCCAATCAAATGACTCAAAAATTGCGATTTACCATATAATTGAAAATCCGCCACGATAACATGTAATTGGTCGTTTAACTTTGATGAAAAAAAATGGAAAACTATAAATCACGAGATTTCCCTTTTTGTCTAGCAGTATATAAGATTCAAAAAATCCTATTTTAGAGCCAAAACCGAAAAAACAATGTCCACCGAAGAATCGTTCGACTACGAAGTTGATATTTATCGAAAAATCTATTTTATCTCATCATATTTGAACGTTTTCCTTCAAGTTTTCACAATTATCACTAACATCTTCCATCTCATTTTTCTACTCCAAAAAGAGCTCAGATCGGGAGCAATTTATATTTTAATGATTGGAATTGGAATTGCGGATGTTATCAATTTTTTATTCGAATTTTATAACATTGGAATCGAAAGATACTGGTGGTACCCGTTCAATGAAATTACCTCGTTGTGTTTGAAAATCGATTTGGCTGAAATGAATTTATTTTTTGAATTAAACCAGACAATTATTCATATTACTCGTCCTGTTGCGGTATGGTTGGCTATTCTGATGGCATTGATAAGAACGTTATCAGTGATGTTTCCGATGAGCAATTGGATTCAGAACATGACCAAGCCGAGAAATGTGATCTTTATGATTTTTGGGGTTTTTGTGTTTTGGACGATTTTATATTCCTATTGGCTTGTGTTTTTGAGGATAGTATGGTACCCAGATGTGTTGGATAAATCGTAAGTGAATCTGGAAGATACGGTAGCTATGACAAATCAGTAATCTCATTTGGTTTAGTAAAATAATAAAGTTTCATTAAAATTGGAGCATTCTGAGAGTTATGCCCAATGGAACATAAGAGACGCAGACAACAAGTGTGTCTGGCGTCTCTGCGTCTTTATTCCGTCACTGAACTAAATTAAATTTATAATCATTAGAATCGCCCGGTTTTGTTTCCAATTAGTAGAATCTGAAAATTTCATAAAAATTAGACAGTTCTGAAAATAGTTAAGAGACGCAGACAGCTAGAGCGTCTGCACTTTCGTCTCTTTAAACAATTGTAACTCCCTTTGAAACTATCAGAATGAGTTTAAAATCCCTAGAAATGCAAACTAGGTCTTCTTTTTTTGATTTCAAAAGTTTCAGCAAAATTAAATATTTTTGAAGATAGTTATGCCCATTTGAACATAAGAGACGCAGATAACTAACTTCTCTGCGTCTCTTTGAACGTCTGTAACTCCCTTCGGAATCGTTCGAATGAAAAGAAATTTGCAGAAAATATGAATCATATTTTAAACTCTAATTTCTGAAAATTTCATCTAAATTGAATGATTTCAGAAAGAGTTATGGCTGCGTGAGTAGAGAGCGCAGACAACTAAAGTGTCTAGCTTCTCTGGGTCTCTTCAAACGGATGTAACTCCCTTTAAGTTAGTCAGAAATTAGTGAAAATTCTAGAAGACATGAATCATATCCTGAATTTTCTACAACTCTGAAGATAGTTATGGCTCCTAGAACACAAGAGGAGAAGGTACAGACAGTTAGACTGTCTAACTTCTCTGCGTCTCTCATATCGAGGAAAATAGGGCATGCTTATACTCATTCTGACCGTCTTAACTTGCTGATTCCAAACTCGCAAGAGTTTTCAAAATCTACAGTATCCTTTTTCCAGATGTTTCTACTACAACCGCGACAAACAATCCTATCAGAGATACGCTCTGGTAATGGATAAAACACGTTTTACATTTTTGTTTAGTAGTGAAAGTTTGGAACCAATCGTCAGATTCATTCCAACGATTTGCTACCCAATTCTAACGATTGCTTTGATATTCCAATTAAGATCAATTAAGAAAAAACGAGAGAATGTTCAGAAGAATTCATTAAGTGATCGATCGGATAAAACAACGAAATTGATATTAGCAATGACTGTTTGTTTCATGCTTTCTGAAGGATTGTGTGGGTTGGATGGGATAATAATACCGATTTTGAATAAAAAAATCCAGAAAAAATACTCGGAAGATTTGGCAGATTGGATGTGAGTTTTTACCAGGAATTTTTAGAAAAATCAATAATTGTCAGATCCACCGTCGGAACTCTCCAATTCGTTTTTCTAAACCTCCGAACTTTCAATGCCTCAACTCATCCATTTTTCTGTTTTTTCATGTCCTCACAGTATCGGGATACTGTAAAACGACTGTTTTGCGGGAAACAGAAAAAGATAGCTTTTACGGTAATTTTTGAATTGAACGTTTTTAAAAAGGTATTCTGAAATTTTCAGACAATCAAAGTGAGCACAGCCAATGTGTCCAGTGTTTCCAGCAAAACCAGAAGCTATTAATTTTTTATATATAGTTTTTTTGAAAAAATAAATTTTGATTTCTGGTTTTTTTATCTGGAATTTCTGGATCTGAAATGTTCAATTCTGAAATTTTGAATTTTGATGTTCTAGAACCATCCATTTGAGAACTAGTTATGTTTCCGTTCTGGAATGTGGCGTTCTGAAATGACCGGTTCTAGAACGTCCGGTTTCGAAACTTCCAGTTCTCAAATGTCGATTTTTGATGCCTGCAATAATCAGAAAACACAACCGAATTCTGATTATTTTTGTGTTCAAAACCATGATTACTGACATTGTTTGCTTGCAAATTCTGAGAACTCTAGAAATATATGTTTTTAATAACATCCCTTCCGAAAATTCGCATTTTTCGGAATCAAATTCTTTGGTTTTTTGCTCAGTTATGCGGAAAATTTCTTGTTGATTCAAACAGGAAAAATTAGTGTCCGAGCAAATTTCATTTGGAAAAATTTTTGAGATTAAATTTTTTCCTTTTGATCACATTTTTTGGACTTTCAGATTCAGATTTGATCGATTTTTTCATCATTTTCAGATTTTGATGATTTTCGGAATTTTTTAATTTCTAGAACATTTGAAATTCGCAATTTCGAACATTTCGAATTTTGCTAAATACCAATGATATTTTGAAATTCTGAATTTTCGATTTTTTGAATTTTTGACATTCTGAATTTTCGATTTTTTGAATTTTTGACATTTTGAATTTTTGAATTTTTGAATTTTTGAATTTTTGAATTTTTGAATTTTTGAATTTTTGAATTTTTGAATTTTTGAATTTTTGAATTTTCGAATTTTTGATGTTTCGAATTTTTTAAATTTTGAATTTTTGAATTTTTGAATTTTTGAATTTTTGAATTTTTGAATTTTTGAATTTTTGAATTTTTGAATTTTTGAATTTTTGAATTTTCGAATTTTTGATGTTTCGAATTTTTTAAATTTTGAATTTTTGAATTTTTGAATTTTTGAATTTTTGAATTTTTGAATTTTTGAATTTTTGAATTTTTGAATTTTTGAATTTTTGAATTTTTGAATTTTTGAATTTTTGAATTTTTGTAATTTTGATGTTTCGAATTTTTTAATTTTTGAAATTTTGAATTTTTGAATTTCTATATTTCTGAATTTTTGAATTTTGGAATTTTCGAATTTTCGAATTTTTGAATTTTGGAATTTTGGAATTTTTGAATTTTTGAATTTTGGAATTTTTGCGTTTTCTGAAATTTTTAAAAATCTTTTTTTGTGTTTTTTAAAGTGTTTTTTTTGGGAAAAAACAAGAAAAAACAACTTTTTTGGTTTTTTGGTTACAATTTTTTCCAACTTCTGACCGCAATCTTTTAATATTTGATTCAATTTTTCCCGTCTCAAATTTTTCAGAACCAAAATTTTCAGCCAAAAGTTTTTCAGCAGCTCAAAATGGCTGATTACACCTACAATTATAATTATGACACTAATTATTATGATTATTATGAAAACCAACGCGATAACTATGACAACATCATTTTTTATTCTGGAAATTTCAATTTTTTCCTGGAATTTTTCACAATTTTCGTGAATATTTTCCATCTAATTGCCTTATTTCAAAAGGAAATTCGAACGAATCCAATTTTTATTTTAATGATTGGAATTTCAATTTCCGACACCTCGAATTTCGGAATTTCGGTTTATTTGGAAGGGACCGATAGGAATTGGTATCATCGATTTTTTGAATTTTCAAATTTGGATTGTTTGAGAGAAGATTTCATAATTTTCAATTTCGGTTATGAGACTTTGAAGTGATTTTTTGGTTTTTTTTGTTTGAAAACTTTTCGAATTTTTGGGTTTTTGAAATAAAAACGATTTTCATAGGATTTAATGGTACCATGGGATGTTAAAGGTACCATTATACTTCCAAGGTGCCATTGATTTTAAATAGTCCCATACGATTTCAATGGTACTATAAGATTCCAATGGTACCGTGGGATTCTAATGGTACCCTTTTATTTTTGTGGTCCCTTATGATTTCAATGCTACCATAGGATTTTAATGGTACTTAGGATTCCGATGGTACCATAGGATCTCAATGGTACCATAAGGTTTCAATGGTCTCATGCAATTTTAATAATCCCATAAAATTTCAATGGTACCATAGGATTTTAGTGGGATCATGGGATCTTAATGGTACCGTAGAACTTCAATGGCCTTTTGGGGTTTTTACGGTCCCAAAGGAATTTAATGGGATCACATGACTTCAATGGTCCCATAGAGTTTTGATGATATCGTAGGGTTTCAATGGTCCCATGGGATTTCAATGGTACCATAGAATTTTAATGGTACCATAAGATTTCAATGATCACAAAGGATTTTTATCGACCCATGGGATTTCAGTGGTTCTTGGGGTTTCCATGGACTCACGCGATTTTTATAATCCCATCGAATTTCAACAGTACCATAGGACTTTAATGGTACCATTGGATTTCAATGGTACCATACGATTTTAATGGTACCATAGCATTAAAATAGTGTATATTTGTTAAATTTTCCAGATGCATCCAAAATTCAACCCGCTCAATTTCAGTTTGCCTCTCAATTCTGATGGCTCTTATTCGAACATTATCAATTTTATTCCCTCTGAAAAAATTTACAGACAAAATTTCCAGTCAATTTTCTTCCAATATATTGATTTTTGTTTTTTCAATTTTTTGGATTTTCTATTATTCTTGGAATTTTCTATTTTTAAGGAGTCTATGGTATCCTGATAATCTATGTGAAGATTCGGAAATTCAAGAATTGAATCGAAATTTAACAATTTTTGCATTGGCAATCCCGGAGAATATATATGTTTTGATGAATCAAAGAGAAGTTTGGGAATATTGGGTTCGAATTGTTCCTGCGACTTTTTATCCAATTTTGAGTATTCAATTATTATGGAAACTGGCAGAAATCAAACGGCTGAGAAGGAGAACTAGTGATAATTTAAGTGATAAAAAGTGAGAATTGTTTTTATGGAATTTTTGACTTTTTGAAATTTTGACTTTTTGACTTTTTGACTTTTTGACTTTTTGAATTTTTGAATTTTTGAATTTTTGACTTTTTGAAATTTTGACTTTTTGAATTTTTGAATTTTTGAATTTTTGAATTTTTGAATTTTTGAATTTTTGAATTTTTGAATTTATGAATTTTTGAATTTTTGAATTTTTGAATTTTCGAATTTTTGAATTTTCGAATTTTGGAATTTTTGAATTTTCGAATTTTTGAATTTTTGAATTTTTGAATTTTTGAATTTATGAATTTTTGAATTTTTAAATTTTTGAATTTTCGAATTTTTGAATTTTTGAATTTTTGGAATTTTTGAATTTTCGAATTTTTGAATTTTTGAATTTTTGAATTTTTGAATTTTTGAATTTTTGAATTTTTGAATTTTTGAATTTTTGAATTTTTGAATTTTTGAATTTTTGAATTTTTGAATTTAACTACTGAAAATTATTTAATCATTTCAGCAAAGAACAATCCGACAATCTGACCATACTAATTTTATTCATGACAGTTAGTTTTATGTTATCAGAAGGACTAGACGGAATTCGATCATTTTTACTTATCACTTCATATTCATGGTCCGACGAATACAGTAATATCAGGTACAGTAACCCAAATTTTCTCCAAAACTAATTGTTTTTATTCCAGAAAATTCTTATTATCATCTCAATATATTATCATAAGTCTCCGCTGCTTCAATTCAATATCTCATTTATTTGTCTGCTATTCTATGTCCTCCCAATACCGTAATACTTTCAAATATGTCTTCTTCCTCCAACGAAAAGCTGAAATCAAAATTATTCCTGTCAAAAGTGTCAATTCGAAGTCTATGGAGAGTTCTAGAAAGATTCGGAGCAGAACTTTGAATTGTGATCATTAAAAACTTTGAAAAAAATTATTTAATTTTTTAAAATAAATATAATTTTCGACATGTAGCGCGATTCCGAAAATCTAGTTTTCAGCCTTTTCAAACAAAAGCTGGCAAAGTTGAAACACATTTAACAGCTAGGAGACGCAGACAGTTAGACTGTCTAGCTTTTCTGCGTCTCTCCTTGCAAACAAACATCTCTAAATTCCTTCAAACTAGACAGAATTAAGTGAAAATTTCAAAAAATATAAACCAAATCTTGCTTATGAGATTCTGCAAGTTTCATCGTTCAAAGTTGAGAATAACGAGATTTTGGTACTGCTTAGCAGTATCAAAATGGTAAATTGCTACTGCCTAGCAGGTGCAAAACTGTTGGACAGAAAACATTTAAACAAGCTAAAATTAACCCCTTGTATAATTAGCACATTTTTAGTTTGGGCAAATATTTTTACATCAAATTAAAGCTCTGTTTCTCAGCTATCGTTTAAGGCAAAAGTCAAAAAATTAGCTAAACAATGAAAAAAGTTATAGACGGTTAAAGTTGCCGATAATGAGATTTTGGTACTGCTTAGCAGTAGTAAAACGATACATTGCTACTGCTAAGCAGTACCAAAATACACAAAGAGTAATAGAAAAAGGCTATAAGTCGCTGATTTTTCATCAACTTTTAAGCAAAATTATATTTTTGGGATCAGCATGTTGAGAGGCAAGTAGTAATATAAAATGTGAATGAAGAGAACCAAGTTTCCTGGATTTTCAGGGGGAAAAGAAACGGAGTTCGATGTGTGAAATATTCGTTTTGACTTGGCACAGGCAACGTTCAGAATTCAACATATTTTCATCGAAATTTTATAACTTTATTTTTCAGGTTTGAAGTTGAAATTAGAAAATAATTTAGAATACCAAAATTTGTATTTTCCAGTGGGCGTGGTTTAGTTAACTGGAGCTGGAACTCGGATAGTTTGGGTCGATTCTTTAGTTGGCTCTCGACTAGGTTTGACACGTTTTGTAGTAGTACGGTGGTTGAATAGATACATGGCAATCCTGGAATAAATGTATTAAGTGGTTTTTGGGAAAACAATTTCCTTGAAAATAAAATTTTTCCGGGAATTTTTTTTTTCAAAATTTAAAAAATATCATTCAATTTGAATCCCAAAACAAATTCCCAAAACAAACAATGAATTGAGGGATTTTTGAAAAAATAATTTTTGGAGAAAAAACTTTTTTTGAAATTTTTTTTGCAATTTCTGATCCCAATTTTATAGCTTAAATTTTCATTAAAGGAGGCGAGACAGCAAAAATTTCGGGGTTCAGTTCGGGGGACGAAATCGCGCCGCGCTTATGTAGACCATCGGTCGTCAGGCGCCTTCGCGCCCCCGGTCGCGGCGCTGTACCCCTGAGCTGCCTGTCATGAGTCCAACCCCTCATGGGGGTTCTCTATGCAAATTATCAGGAAAACTTTTTTTTTTTGGTGCCTGGCCTCCTTTAATTTCTTTTTAAAAAACTCACCCATCAAACACATAAACCAGCACATTTGAGCTAAATGTTAATAACATAGTACACAAATTTAAACAATAAAGATTTGCGGTTAGGTTATTTAAAATATCCAAAGCGCAAATCCAGTCTTGAACACAAGATTGCAGAAAAAATCGAATATTTGTTTTTTGACGGTTTTTACTGTCTTCGGAGGAGAGCGAATTTCGAGATTTTTTCTGGAAATTTTGTTTTTTCAAACTTTGAAAAAAAATTGGGATACTTTGAAAATTACCCAATTTTAGACCAATTTCATAAACTCAGGCAAGTATGTTTTATATAAAATTAAAGTCCTTCTTTCAGCGATCGTTTAGTGCAAAAAATAGAGAATTAGCTAAACTACGAAAAAAGTTATAGGCATTTAGAGTTGACTATCATCAGATTTTGGTACTGCTTAGCAGGTACAAAATGAAAAATTGGTACTGCTCTAGTGAACCTCTTGTATGACAGACATAGTGTTAGTTCAGGCAAACATTTTTTATATGAAATTGAAGCTCTATTTTTCAGCTATTTTCAAACGTTAAAAGATAGAAGCGTCTTTCTTCTATAACGAGATGGCAATCGGGGCAAACAATAGAAGGGTGGAAAGGGCAATAGGAGTAAACAATCTGTCCGCGTCCGGAATAATTAATTAACCTAATAGAAGAATATGACAGGCGATCTTATTGTCCTGTCACACTATCATTTGGTGTAAAAATCCAAACAAAATCTAAACTATGAAAAAAGTTATAGTCGTTTAAAGTTGAATTTAATGAAATTTCGGTGCTGCTTTTGGTACTTCTGAGCAGTAGTAAAATGAAAAATTGCTACTGCTAAGCTGTACCAAAACCTCATTATGGTCAATTTTTAACGTCTATAACTTTTCTCATAGTTTAGGTAATGTTTTGATTTCAGCACTAAATGATAGCTGAAAAATAGAGCTTCAACTAAATATATGTTTTTTTCGAAAATTTCAAAAATTACCCAATTCCAGACTAGCTTTAAAAAAATGAGAAAATTCATGGTATTTGTCAAAATTGCCAATGAAAAAACAACTGGAATAAACACAAAAATAAATATATTATTACATGGAGTTTGATAAAAATCCAAATGATAAAATCCAACCGGTACACGACAGTCATCCGGTAAACCGTAAAGTGTGGAAGTCCAAATCGAAAGAACCCACGTGGCAATTAGACAAGCTACAGTAACATGATTACTGTATTTAGGCACATGGGTTGGGGAAAACCAAATCACCAAAAATCGATTAATTGTTATCAGAAATTGGGTCATTGGCCCTTGAAGATAAATTCCATAACCAACTGCTTGATTTATATATTTACTCAGATCATAGGATCCAATTTGGGTGTACCTTTAAATTTCTTGGGTTTCTGTAGCATTTAAAAAAGGACTGTATTTGCTTACAACAAATTCGTTGGTCCTAAATATGTCAAAAATACAAACAAAATAAGAAAATTGGATACAGTTTTAGAGGTGCATAAAATATAGAAACTGGTTTTTTCAAATTCCAAAAATTTGGAAAACATGAAAATATTGAAAATCAATCCAATTAGGGAGGCTATAATTAAATGACAGCCGACAAGACGGGTTGGAATTTCAGCAGCGATTAAATTCTTTTTTCTAGGGGCCATTTTTTCTGAAAATCTGAAAATTGAGAAACTGATAGTGATTGAGTTCCCTGAAAATATAATATAGTTTTTCAAGTTTTGGGTACCTTTCGGGTGCAAAAACTACTGAAAAAAAAGTTTCCGTGTCCAGACTAACTAGAAAACTTGATTATAGCATGGTAATTATAGCACAGGTGTCAATAAATTGTATAGTTTTTGGCTCTTTGGTAAATATAGAGTGGGAAATGTTAGAAAATTTGAAAAAATTGGTTCAGAATCTCTCTCTCTTTCTCTCTCTCTCTCTCTCTCTCTCTCTCTCTCTATCGTTTCAGCGGCTCAAAAGTTTCAGCGGCTTTCTGAGAGACTATGAGAAAAGTTATAGACGTTAAAAATATAATAATGAGATTTTGGTACTGCTCAGCAGTACCAAAAGCAGCACCAAAATTTCATTAAATTCAACTTTAAACGACTATAACTTTTTTCATAGTTTAGATTTTGTTTGGATTTTTACACCAAATGATAGTGTGACAGGACAATAAGATCGCCTGTCATATTCTTCTATTAAGTTAATTAATAATAAGGTTAATTTAAAAAAATTGCGTCTACAGCAATCCAATCTTCGAAAAAAACTTACATTGTAAGAAAACCAACATTTTCCAATATTTGGGTCATCACTAAATGTGGCATATCCATAACTGTGGGTTTCTCATTTTTCGAGGAGAAATTTGAAGGAGATCGTTCAGAGGCTTTTATGGAAAACGTGGATGGAAGCAAAGGAATAGGTGGAACATTGAGCAATAAATGTCAGTCGTATTTTTTCAGATTTTTGAAATTTTGGAAAATTAATTTTTCGAATTAACAAAAAATTGGAGCAACTTTTAAATTACGTGGAAAGTGTGGAAACACAGAAAAATGGGAAATTTGGTAGATTTAAATTGTAAAATTCAAAATATTCTTTCCTTTTTTTCAAATTATTTGAAATCAATTCAATTATGGAATCAATTGAAGATTGCCCAAAAGCGAAGGATCATTATATTTGTGAGTTTCAAAAAAAAAATTGCCAAAAATTAAATGAATTCTTTTTTTTTTCGTTTCTAAACATGGATCATGCGAATTTGAAAATTTCTATCAACTTTTTGAAGAAGAAAATAATTTTCCATCAATCGAAATCTTGTCCCTTGGAGGAGTTAAATGGTTAGTATTTTCTGAACTTTTTTATGAATTAAAAAAGATGTTTTTATTTGAAATTTATAAAAACTTGTGTTATTTTGAGATTTTTGCATTCTGAGCACTCTTATTTGAATTACAAGAATTCGAAATTATTTCAATTTTGAAACTAAAAATTTATTTGAATCCTTTTTTGATAAATTAAAATCAACTTTTAGAAAACTCCAAAAAAAAAACTAGAATTCCAAATTTTTCCAGGAATATGACTCTTGAATACGAAAATCTCAATATCTCTCCAAAAATCGAAATTACGGAGAACGATGAGCAATTGAGTTTTCGACTCAATTGTTCCGTTTTGGTTGAAAATTCGAAATTTCCGAAAAAGGAAACACTTGCTAGCAGTTGGGGAAAAATTCTTTTGAAATATGGACACAGGATTACTGGAAAATCAATGAATATTTATGAATTATTTGATCCTGACAATGGATGGATTAATTCTAAAAATTCGCTGAAAATTTTATACGGAATTCAAATTGATGCGATTCAGAAAAATGGAATTTGGAGATTCCACTTTTCGGATTCATTTTTTAATGGGAAAGAAAAGGAACATGGGATTCGGGTTGAGTATGAAGAGGATTTCATAATTGTCGAGGAAGAGGTGGGACAATATTTTTTAGAATTTTGAAAAACTGCAAACAAAATTTTCAGATTCTCAAATTCCATTCCAAAATTTTCTCCGACGAAAATTCTGGATTTTTGGGAGAATTCAAAGATTTCAAACTTCTAGAAGAGTGTATGCAATGTGCACATGGAGTTCGAATTGACGGTTGATAAACGCAAAACAATTAATTTTCAAAAAATTCATTTTTCAGATTCCAAAATATCAGAAATCCTTCCAATTGCCTATAACCTGAAACTATTCAATGTGATTCGATATTGTGAACAGAAATTGATTCAACAATTCCCACGTGGTCAACAAATTCCAATTGAAATGGTTTTAAAATATCGAATGAGACGCTATTTGGGATATTTACTCGAAAATGAAAAATCGAAAAAAGTAATTTGGGAATTTTTGAAAAAAATGAATTTGGATGAATTGGATGGAGAGACGATGAAGTATTTTGTGGCGAAATATTTGTATGAACTCTTTTGATTTTTTTTCTCCTTTTTTGGATTTAAAGGAGGCCAGACATCAAAAATTTCAAAATTTTCATTTTTTCTTAAAATATGTGAATCTAAAGTGCAAGTATATATACCTACTCGAAAATCTGAAAAAAATCATCTCATCGGCTAAAAAATGCACTTCTGTTTGACCACTGCGTCTTGCTGTCGCCGCGTTGCTTCATAACACGAAACCACACACAACTCACAACGTGCGCGCGCGGTGTAAGTGGTTGTGCGCGAAACTGTCGTTCATGAAGTCAAGAGTTCGATTCCTTCTCGTGGTTTTCTCTTTTTTTTTGCTTTGTTAACATCATTTTTCAAAATAGAAATGGGGAAACAGATACTATCTTGCATGTTTCATAATTTTTGATTCTACGATCCAGGGAATTGGCGTTGTTATTCTGAAACTTTCTACCTACACAGTGTCGAATACATCTAAGTTTACGACACTTGTTTTCTGTTTTTTTTTCGTATTTTCGCCTGTTCAAAAATGCTCTTTGTTACTTGTTGTGCGTGTGGAGACAAAATTCTGAAAAAAGAAGCAACCAAAGTTCCATCAAATGATAAACAGAGAGAGAGAAATGGTCGGAGATTCTGGGCGGAGCTTTTCGAAAAAACTGTCAGGCATTTCGTTGTCCATACATCTGCTTGGCTCATGTTTCAAATGGAAAGGGCAGGTTCAAACTTCCGAATACAGTGAGTAACTAAATCGCTTCCAAAATCACTGAGAATACAATTCACAGGTGTCCTGGAATAATCCGCAAGAGGAAGCGCTCGATCACTGGGTATGGAAGAGCCCAATTGTTGGATTAGAGGAGACGCAGAGTGTTCCTTCAGAGCCTAGTTCCGAGGTATCTGCATGAGAAGAAGATTTGAAAAATACAGATTTATATTTACAAAAAGAAATTAAAAGAAAATACAATAGATATTTATGAGAAATTCCTAACAATTAAGAAGAGAACAACAAAAAAAATTACAGTATGCCCCGCCGGACGGGTGGTTCTCTGAAGACGACGGCAGCAGTAGAAGTGGAGGAGAAGTATCTGAAAATCCCAGTCATAAAACGTACTGTATCTCTTCTACTGAAGCAGTTTTATCACTTCTCAAAGTATGCAGAAAATGTGGAAGTAAGGCAGACATGAATATTGATCATCGCGGTTTCAACATGAATGTGAGAAAGCTAAAAATAACGAAAATCCTATTAAAAAACTTCTGAAGGTACGATGTCAATGTTGTGATTGCGGGAGGAAATGGAAATGGAACAATTCTAAATTTTGCCAATCCGATTCAAGAGAAGGAAGACAACAACTACGGGAAATTCATTTAGACCTGGCTTCCGGAATTTTCCTATCTGGGTGTGATTTTGAGGTTAGCCGGAATGTAGGCGGCATGTATTTGTATTCAAGCTTCTTATATACCAATTAGGGTGAACGCTGAATAAGGAAAGATAACTAGCAGTGTATTCCAGAAGGTGAAACAGTTGTTCTACATCATCGACGCTCCTTGTTTCACAGCGAGAACTTATGATCGAATCAAAGGAAATTATGTTTATCCCGCGGTGACGATCTGGTACCAAAACACAAAGGAGTGGGTGTGGGAGTTTATGAGAAAAGCCTATGAAGAAGTAATTCGAATTCATTTTTTTCTAGGAAACAAAGTGAGCATTATTTCAGGATGGTGCTTTGAACATGGTTGGAGATGGTTCATTCGACAGTAGGGGAAGATCAGCACTGTATCTAAGATACGTGTTAATGGATTCTAAATACCATCTAGCCCTAGACTTTGAGATTGTCCGACAGAAAACAGGGGGTACTGAAACTTGAAGCCATATTAAATTTTAGAATTGCTTATTCAGAGAAGAGATACGATATGGAAAAGGAAGGGTTTGAGAAGAGTTTTTCCAGACTCGTTGAGGAAGCATCAAAGTACTTGGAGCCTGGAGCTGTGAAAAGTTTCACTTCAGACCGCTCAAAAAGTATTGCTACATCAATGAGGCTAAACTTCCCTCAAATCGAACACAACTTCGATTCGTGGCACTACATCAGGAATATCACTCTTGATATCATGAAGGTGTTTTTATAATAATTCGAAGAATATTAGGAGTATTGAGTTTTTTTAAAGAAAAAGAATCAAATGCAGTTTCAACCATTAACAGACTGGGTCCGATCTTTTTTGAACCACTTGTACTACAGTATCGCGGAAAATCAAGGAAACGGTGTTATGGCGAAAGAGAGACTTCTCTCTTTTTTCTATCACGTCACCAATAAGCACCAAAATTTCGAGGCAAGCTTTGAAACTTTAACGTAGAACTTATTTTCGTTTCAGACCGGCAAGTGGTTTCAGTTGACGAATTTCACAGCTTGTGAACACCCAGAAATCGATGAGTTCGACGAAAAGTCAGCTGCGTTTCTGGACTCAAATTCGAAAAAAGATGTGAAAGCGTTGAATTGCCTACTGAATATTCTAAAGAAAGGAAATAGATTGGCTGATATTGGAAAAGTATCACCTTTCTTCTCAACCAGCCATGTAGAGTCACTAAATTCTCGTGCCGTTTCGTATGCTTCGAAAGATAGATTTTAGTACGTGAAACAGAACAATATAAACGAAAAATATCATGATTTAGTTCGTCAGATGGTTTTACAATTCGAACTATGCTGACGATGATTGATGTCAACGAACGACGTAGAGATGAACTAGAAGGGAGAAGAGTGGTCATTAGGGAGAAGAAGTACTATAATAAAACGTCTAAAAGATATTCTACAAAATACGTTAAAAAAAATCCTACCGACTATAGATGGAAAATCGGGATCAAGAAAACAACTCATAGACTGAGAAATGAAGGTTTCAGTAGCACAGAAAGTGTTTGCAAATTGATAGAATTTTAGAACGAAATGCTCGCCTCCGTCGAGATGATAGTGACAGTGATCAATCTGATAGTGAAAGTGATGTTGAGGATTTTACTAGTCATACTGTAAGTACGACGGACGAAGATGAATCAGATGTAAAATAAGAAAAAAAGTTCAGAAAATAAACTTTCACTTTCAGGCAGATTCTGTATGGGACCAACTCATTCCTGTGACTGATGATGACAAAATGAGCGACTCTTCATATGAATACGAGTCAGATTTAGATACTAGAGCCTCAGATGTGATATTTTTTCTAATGACGGGTTCTAAATTATACGTTTTCAGATCGATTCAGTTTGGGACCATCTAGTTCTAATGGATGATGAGGGAGAAAATCTCGATGATTTAGAGGAGAGTGAAGATGATGAAAGCTACGAGTTGAGAAGAGATCTACGACAATAAATTTCAAAGACTCACTAATTCTCCTCTGCTGCCTGACTTCTTCTTTTTCCTTTTCTGTCTTCTTCTTCCTTTTCTTGTTCTTCCTGTTCTTCTTGCTCTTCTTGTTCTTCTTGTTTTTCTTGTTCTTTTTCTTCATCGTCATCATCGCTTTCGTCGATTTGTTTTGTCTGATAAAAAATTGAACATTATTAAAAAATTATTAAGCCATTTACAACCAAAGCAGAGACAGTCGGCTCGAAGCGAGAAAAATTGCGGTCCGGGAATAAATTGCGTACGAATCGAGCAATGCAATTCGGAACCAATAGAGAATTTGAAATCTTTGTTTTTGGGCAGAATGTAGCGGCAAAAAAGCAATAAGCGAAACTTTGCTTTCTTCTAAAACAAAAAGGTTTATGAAGTTCTTTTCCAATTGTATAAACTTATTCGAAAATTCCGAAAAAGGTTTTTGTCCGCAGCCCTTCGAACGAAAGAGACATCCTAACGCGAAATTCGAAATATTCTAAAAGAAAATTTTTTCTGCGACTAGACTACACTTTTAAACCTGTTCAGATAACAAATCAAAAAACTCCGGCAGGTCGGTGAGACAAGATTTTGCTTGAAATTTGCTTGAAAACTTTTGCCTGATTTTCTTGCTCACAATTTTTCCAAAATGTGTCAATTTTTTGATATCTAGTAAGCTGTTACAACAGCCACCAGAACGGCTTTCACATTTTTTACAGGTACACGTTCCATGAGTATTATTGAACAGCGCTGATGTCAGAGTTATCAATTCGTTTTTCTTCTTTTCAGAAGTTATTTTTTGCTTTTGGAGCGCATTCTCTTGGGTTGGCTCATAAAGATAGGGAGAAATTCGTTGCATTTCTGAGATTAGAAAAATGTTAGGGTATTTTAACACAGAAACGAAGAGCGACGGAATTTCTATCAAGAAAAGAACAATTTTTCACAGGCCTTATGAAAATGCATGAACGGTGGTGAAATAATTAGTCAATTGTACAAAATGATTGCGAAATCGTTCTATTTTTTACGGGATTTACGATGAATTTAAAAAAACTGGGTTTTAAACAGTTAAAATTGCTAAAAATTAAAAAAAAAGCCGCAAAATAAAAATAATGAAAAAACATGAAAAGTAGTTTGCGCGTACGATTGCGCGCTTTAGGTGCTAACACCGCGACGGCAAAATACACATTCCCTGAAATTTTCCCCGAAATTTTTGCTGTCTAGAGTGCCGAGTCGACTCGAAAATCGATGATTTTTGTTTACATTAAAATTGAACTCATTGTTCATTATTTTGTGTGGAAGGAAATATTTCTAAATTAGACTAGAATTTTTTGTTGTCGATTTTGCGTCGACTTAAAATCGACAGAAAAATCGACAAAAGTCGACAAAAAATCGACGAAAGTCGATGAAAAATCGACTTTTCCGGACTTCAAAGTAAAATTTCACCTCGAGAAATGTTTTTTTCTAATTTTTTGAAGAAATCATTGTAACAACTTTAGTTTAGAGTAACAACTTTATTTTTATGGATAAAAAACAAATAGTGTAAAACTTAGTTTCCTGAAAAAAAGTTGGGGTACAAAATATGATGGCAAGGAAAATAGAAGAAAATTCAAAGCGACAAAATTTAAAAAAAAGGGAAGAAGAAGAACAAAGTTTATGCCAAATTTGTGAAGTAAATCAACAACAAGCCTGCCGACATTAGCTGCCGTTGCAGAGCGCTGATAGGCTCGATTCCCAGAAGCTGGAAATAATCTTGTTTGTTTCTATGATGTTTGTAGCATAGCTCACCTTCGACTTTCGCTCGAAATTCTCAACATAAAACACAAAAACGGCATAGAGAGTACTATCCATGTATTTTGCGCTCCATCCATCTACAGAAATCCAGACCTTCTGTAAGACAAAAAACTATTTATGTGATGATACGAATTGAATCAAACCTCAGCATTTTTCATCGACTTTTTACTAATTTCCACATATTCCTTTTCCTTGTCTGCTAATTTTTTTCTAAGAGAATCAGGCGTCAGAATTTGATGATCTGGATTAAGCTTTCGAACTCTCGAAAATGTTTGTTTTTGAGGAATCGGAAAGGCACAGTCGAAGAACACATAGCTCTGAAAATGATAAGCGTGGTTCATTTTTAGAACGGGATACAACTCACATAGCCAGATCATCATTCGCATCATTTTTTCAAATTATTTGATGCCGTGGCTCTTGATCTTTGTGTACTATCTAAAATTAAGAATTTAACAAAAATATATAATTTTCTGCTTACCGATCTTTCCATTTTTTCAACTTCTTTTTCGTGGTGACTGTTTAAGTGCTGATGCATCGTTGTGGTCGAAGAATGGAACTTTATGCTCCTTCCGCACAGTTTACAGGTCACAGTTTGTCCGTTTCTTTGTTTTTCGAAGAATCGCCACGCTTTAGATTGATTTTGTGACGAATACATCTGCAAAAAGCAAGAATGTCGTAAATGAAACAGAAAAAAAACAAAACACTCAAAAAAAAACAAGAAAAATACGGTTTTTCAGTGGAAAATTCGATGAAAAATGCCTGTTTTTCATGAAAAATACCCCGGTCACAGGCAGTTTCTAGGTCACCGGTCGTGTAGTCCTCTCGGACAATAAAGTCGACAAAAGTCGACAAAAGTCGATTTTCTGTCGATTTTCTGTCGATTCTTGTCGATTTTTTGAGTCGATTCAAAATCGACAAAAATCGACTTTTGTCGATTTTCACTTTCATCGACTTTTGAAAAGTCGATTTTCTGTCGACTTTTTGAATGTCGATTTTTGATCGAGTCGACGAAATCGACACCGATTTTGACGATTTTCGTCGATTTTTGTCGATTGTCAACAATCGACACAGCACACTATTGCTGTCTGGCCTCCTTTAAATAAATTTTTCCGAAAGTTCTAAAATCGGAATTTTTGAATTTCCTGATTTTTTTTTGAATTTGCTGAATTTCAGAAATTTGTAAAATTTCGAATAAATTTAAGAATTTTAAAAAAATTTTCATTCAATTCTAAAATGTCCAGAACATTTGATTTCTCGAAATTTCCATGAATTTTCTTCAAGTTTCCGTTTTTCGTAAACATGTCTGTTTATTATTTTTTGAAAAATGTAATTTTCACGTTTGTCCGAAAAACTCCCCAACAAACTGTTCCAATTTTTTGAAAGATCTTGTTCTGGATTTTCAAATAAATACGTGTTTTCAAAAATTCAATCCGAAATTCAGATGGAAGTGGGCGATCGGTTCACCTACTCGCGACCGCGCTTTTGCCGTGCCGTTTGCGGGATCTGCCATAGTTTCCTTTAGAATAATTATATTCACAGGTGATTCGCGAACAATCCGTTACGGATTCTCCGCCATTCGCGCGCGGATGAAATAGGAATCGTATACGGACCGTACGCGAATCCGTAACGGATCCGTTTCCGACTCATTCTTTGAAAACCCCCGCCGCTCCTTTTTTCAGTTTCTCTTAATTTTTGCTGAGTTTTCATGATAGTTGTAGACTTAGTATTCGGAACTTTATTAAGAAAACATATAAGAAACAGCAATCAAACGTACAACAAAGTTCGAGAAACTATGAATATCCTTTTTTTTGTTGAACGACCAGCCGGAACCAGAGCAATCTGAAAAAAAATTGGGAAATTTTCCGATTTTTAAGGAGAACTTCCACGGAAACCATTTGGAGAAAAACATTGAGAGGGGTTGTTTTTCAAAATTCGGGTTGTTTTTCAAAATTTTGAAATTGTGGAACCGTAGACGATGAAAAACCTGCTCTACTGAACTAGATTTCCTGTGTTGTCAAAAAAAATTTGGGCAATTTTTATGGTGGATTCGTCACGTGGAAAATGCAAAAAAACTCTTAAAAATCCGAAAACCAGAAATTTCAAATTTGAAATACCAAATTGTCTTTTCAATTTCTTTTTCTGGAATTTTTGCAAAATCGATGAAAAATATGGATTCCCAAAAAACCCGGGATAATTATACTTGTGAGTTTTTAAAGATAATTTCTAACAAAAATGTTGAAAATTGTTCCCAGTTACTACAACTGGGTCGTGCGAATTTGAAAATATTCAACAACTATTCAATGATAATGATTTTCCAATAATTGAAATCGGATCACTTGGAGGAGTTAATTGGTATGAAAAAAAAAGAACTAAATAAAATTTAATCAACATTTTTCAGGAATATAACTCTAAAAAAAGGAGAATTCATCAATATCTGTCCAAAAATCAAAATTTCGGAAAACGATGAGCAATTGAATTTTCGACTCAGTTATTTTCTTTCGTTTGAAAATTGGAAATTTCCGAAAAAGGAAACACTTGCTAGCAGTTGGGGAAAAATTCTTTTAAAATCTGGACGCAGGATTACTGGACAATCGATGAATATTTATGAATTATTTGATCCTGACAATGGATGGATTAATTCTGAAAATTCGTTGAAAATTTCATATGGTATTCAAATCGATGCAATTCAGAAGAATAGAATTTGGAGATTCAACTTTTCGGATTCCCATTTTAAAGGACAGGAAAAGAAACATGGGATTCGATTTGAGTATGAAGAGGATTTCATAATTGCCGAGGAAGAGGTGGGACACTTTTTTTTTGAAAAAAAAAATGCAAAAATCTTTTTTTCAGATTCTCAAACTTCATTCCAAAATTTTCTCCGACGGAAACTCTGGATTTTTGGGAGAATTCAAAGATTTCAAACTTCTAAAAGAGTGTATGCAATGTGCACATGGAGTTCGAATTGACGGTTGAAAAACTCAAAAAACAAAACTATCCCAAAAAAATTATTTTCAGATTCCAAAATTCCAGAAATCCTTCAATTCGCTCATAACTTGAAATTATTTAATGTCATTCGTTATTGTGAACCAAAACTAATTGAAAAATTGCCGCGTGGCAAACAATTTCCAATTGAAATGGTTTTAAAATATCGACTGAGACACTATTTGGGATATTTACTAGAAAAAGAAAAAACGAAAAAAGAAATTTGGGAATTTTTGAAAAAAATGAATTTGGATGAATTGGATGGAGAGACGATGAAGTATTTTGTGGCGAAATATTTGTATGAACTCTTTTGATTTTTTCCTCTTTTTTCGATTCCAATAAATTTTATCATATTTTTTGAATTGTCGAATTTTCGTATTTTTTTCAAAAAAAAAAATGATATTCCGTATTTTCACGTTCAAAAAAAAATTTGGTAGTCTGATTTACAAAAAACTTTTTAAAACATATATAAACATTTGTATTTGAATTAACGCATTTTTTGGTACATCAACTGAATTAATTCGAGTAAAAGCAATGGTTGTGAAGACCCAATTGTTCCGATACTTTTCATAAATACGAAGGATTACCTGGGAATTCGGAATTTCAAAAAACCATTCTATCAATTGACCATTTGGAATACATCCCAGAACTTCATAAATAATTCCGTGATCCATTATTTTTTGGAACGTCCCTTCC